ATTAAATAAAGAATTTTAGCCAGCACAAAACTTGGCCAAAAGCAGGCAGCGTCATTCGGGCGCAAGTAAATATGCAAAAATGCTATCAAACAGTGTTGACACACGAGTGCCGGCTCACAGAGCGCCTAAAACTATGAAGTGCATCCTTTTATTGCATATATTTTGCAAGTTTGCAGAGCACAGCTGAAGGAGGTTTTGCCAAACGTTTTAGCCTGCAAATCGCCGAGCAGTTGAATGGAAGTAAACATACGAAACATATTATTAATTAAAACTTCTTGAGCTTTAAGCTATAGAAAATGGTATGATACTCCATTTAAGTAATATAAAATAAACAAAATAAAATAAAGAAAATATACATATATCTATAATATGAAAACTAATTTAATTAATTAACAACTATTTGTTAGTCCAATTACTAATTAATCAACAAAATTAAATTCAATGTGCATTGTATACTGAAAATCTTTAAAATACCTTCTAAGTAGGTTTTTTTTATTAAACAAAATTAAATTAAAATTAAATGATTAAATAATACAAAAATAATAAATAATTAAATAAATTAAAAATACAAATAAAACTGTTGAAATGATTTCAGTTATTTTCTTAGAGTTATATAAACTTTTTACATTTTTATATTTTTTTTTTAGTTATATAAATTAAAAAAAATAATAATAATAATAATAAATTATATAAATGATTTTTCAATATTTATAAATTATTTTAGACCAATAAAAATACCTACTAAATTATTAAATAATTTCCTATGGAAATTGACGATATCAATTCACAAAACACTTTCCGTTTTAGTTACATTGGACAAGGTAAACTTTTTGCTTATGCCTAATTATATATGCCTAAAGTTCAAGTTAATTCAATTACAGTCGAGTTTCTGGACTGGACGCAGAGAGACTTCTGGCCTTCTGGAGGGACAAAAGGCGTTGCCTACATTACGGCGCATAAATATGCATTTCTCTTGGCCACTTGTCGGCTTTAAATAAATTTGGCTGAAGCACGTTCAAAAATTTGACCCAGACCAGGCCAGCTTGGATACATTTCTTAATTAGCTTTATGAGTTTCAGGTAAAGCCACCTGCCGCAGTTCCCATGTGTGCGGTCAGCCAGGTGTTTGAAGGCCCAACTCGAGGCTAAACTTCTATCTGTTTTTCTTCTTCTTTTTTTTTTATTTCGTATGCATGATGAAATATTATTATGGAAAATGATATTAAAACTTTTGTGAGCGATGCTTTTGTTCAACTTTTCCGTGTGAGGTGCACGAGTGTGGGCAAGAGGCGGGCCTTCTGGTCTATTGATATAGCAAATGCAACAATGGCCAATTTGTAGCAAGTTTCTTGAGGCGCATAAATTACGCTTGGCCTCTAATTGGAACAGTGCCCAGTGCATAGAAATGACGATGGCGACGACAATGGCGACGGCGACACTTCAAATCAAAATTCATAGCCAGAAGTACAGAGGTCCATGAGGGAAGCAAGTGACGAAGCGGGTGGGCAGCTCGGCCGGGAAGCAGACATAAGGAGCGCAGAAGGCCAGACGAAGAGCTTCCAGGCAGTTTGCCCTAAAAGCGAAAGGCAACAAGGCGTAACATGCGATAAAATTGAGTCGAAAACGTGTTTCAAATCTAAAATTAACAAACTGTAGCGCGGGCAGTCAACCATTCAGTCAGTCAGTCAGTCTGTCAATCGTGTTTCGCTGCGACATGGCCCCTGCCTGCATGTAAATGACTTTTTAATGATGTATCCAGTCGAGGGTATTTGAAAGACCGGCGTGTCACCCTCTCGCTCTCGCTCTCCCCCTCTCCCCTTCTCTTCATACACAGACAGACCTCTGTTTCAATGCAAGTGCCATAGTTTGCCCGCCTAATTGCTAACATAATTTTACACTTTAATAGTTTTCTACGTGTCCTGACCTGTGCCAATGCCTGGGGCAGCTCAATATTGGTTTCACATGTAAATGAGGCTCTGATTAGCGCAAGTCATGAATTTCAATTTGTGCCTAATTAATTGTTGTTTCAAATTCTTTGCGTGCTGCTGCGCACATGTTTGATATCGAGCCAAAACCTGACAGTTTACCTTCTGTTTTTCATTTTTTTTTCTGTCTCCCTAATTGGTATTACCATTGCGGGTGGATATCATTTCGAGTGGCTAATTGTGTTCACTTACATCTAATTACAGCCCGGGATAATGCTAAAACATTTCATTAGAAACGAACAAGTAGTATTTAAGCTCAATTGTTCGTTTTCATTGTTGGCCATTTGATTCATTTTCATTCGAGACTCTGATTGAAAGTTACTGTTGATGGATATTTACTGGTATATCGATGGTATATCTAATATATGAACAAGAGAGCGAGATCTAGCTCATTGAAAGAGTATCATTGAATCAATGATTGATTACTACGATGGCCGACAGATAACTGACTGACAGATTGAATGACTCTTCAACTAGTTGTCATTTCAACTAACTGTTACTGATTGATTATCTAAAAGAGATTGACTCACTAACTGGCTTTAACCTGGATTTAATGAGTGATTGACTGACCATCTAAATGATTAGCTAATTGACTGACTGGTATAAAAACTGATGGAATGATTGCCCAACTAATTGGGTGAGTGATTGACAAACTGACTAACGAAATATGGGATTGATTGACTGACTAGAACTCTACTGCAACTAACAACCAAGAACTAACTGATTGATAGAAGGTATGAGTGATTGACTAAATGGCTGACTGACGGAAAGACTGCTCGAGTATTTGACGGAGTAACTAACTAGATCAGTCATTCATTGTCTGTCTGACTAGTTAACTGACTGGAAGACAATATGACTAACTGACCAATTCTGTGATTGACTCAATAAACTGGCTGATTGATTGTCTGAATCGCTGCTTGACCATCTAACTAACTGAATAATCATTGGCTAACTGACTGAATAACTCCCAGAACTGCTAACTTGCTTGCTATCTAATTGATATACTGAATGAGTGATGCACCAGTTCATTGACTAACTGAAAAACAGCAAAATTAGCTGATCAGATTACTGATTGATTAATATGCTTACTTTTTTAATGACTGACTGAATGAATAATTTTCTGAATAACAAACTGGCTAAATGACCGATTGACTGACTGACTAGATGATTGATTAAATATGAGTCTCTATACAATTCCCTGACTGCCGGTCCGATTGATAGATCAAGCTAATAGGCTGACTGAATGATTGACTAACTGATTGATTTACTAATAAAATACTTATGTGAAAACATATATAGCAATTATACTTAGTCTTATCTAACAAGAGTCCAAAATTGCATCAATAAATATAAATTAAATTCAAATGCAGTTCTCTAAACAACGGTACCATTTCATTAATTTGGACCTAGCTTTGCAATGCATTAATATCTACAGACATTAGTGCATTAAATCAGGGTATCTCACTCTCTCTCTCTCTCTCTCTCTCTCTCTCTCTCTTCACATTCCCAATTTCTCATTACATTCCCGCATTTAAATCAACAGAATGCAATCACTCCAAGTCCCAGATGAGCTATCTGCTCAGATTGCTCAGATATCATCTTCGACAGGCATTCCCCGCCTAATGGTATGCTATAAAATTATGCACTCAAGCATTCCGCTCGCACATTGCAAACAATAATTTCGATTTCTATCAATGAAATGCCATAATATGTCTACAATCGAAGTTCAGTCCAATACTATACATGCACACATACATATACGTATACGAGTATGTCCCACTAATGGAATTTTATGTTGGCTAGAGAGAAGTTCGTGTGTTGTCGATAAAGACAAATCGTGCTGCAGACGCCGTTCTACTGCTTGCTTGTAAATTATAAAATAATGTTGGTTGCAATGCCAACGCGGTCTGCCTTTTGTTTCTTGTTTTTTGTTGTTGTTTTCGCTGGCTGTGACCGAAATGTGGGCGTGGCCAGTGGGCCAGAGTATGGTATATGAGATGGCAATTGACTGCAGTTTTTATGCCCGCCCGGCTAAGTGGCACATTTTGGGCTTAGCTCTCAGACGGCTACATTGAAGAGCCCCGCGCCTGCGGTCGACTCACCACGCCAAGCCCGAGAACTCTTTCGGCTTTCGTATGTCTGGCCGTCTACAATTTTTAGCGTAGCCTTCCCCCGTCCCCGTCCCACCGCTGACAGCCCAACTCGGGCACTGCACTCGACTGTTGCCGCTGTCAAATAACTGACATTACCTCGCCGACAACGTCGCCGCGTCGCTGGCATTTCGTGACTTTCTACAATAAAAATTTTCGATTAGAATGTAAAAGCGGCAGTGGAAAGCCGCAAAGCTGAACTGCAACGGCAACGGCAACGGCAATCAAAAGTTGCAGTTAGAGCGGGTGTGTTACACCAAAAATGCTACCGAGTCGGACGTATAATAGCAAAAAATAGCTAAATTGTATATTAATAGAAAATGAAAACAAGAATGATTCCATTTTATTTTTGTAATGGCAGCAGCAAAAAAAAACTCCCCTGCGGTCAAAACGATTTTTACAAATTGTATATAAAATCGAATCGACTGATGTATTGATTGCCTATGCTATTCCAGTTGTGCTAATTTCTGTCACTGCATTAAATGCCTTTTATTTAAGCCTAAACGTGGTTCTATACAAATTATATACTTAAATTAATATATGAAGAAGAGCATAATTCTTAATGTATACATATATAAATAAAAATATATATTTATTTGTTTATTTTTAAATATATATAAATACATATATTTCATTTAAATTATAGTTCAGTCAACGGTTGCATTGTTTCCTCTGTCAAATGCTTAGACTCGCATCATTCCGTTTTCAATACTCATTCCGATTATTGTTGTGTACACATCCATCCATACATACATAGTTTTATTTGCTTTACAGTTTCTCTCGTTTTGCTTTCGAGTTTGAATATAGCACACAGATTCGTCAACGAAAGACGGCGTTGGGCTCAAGAAAAATATTTAAAAAATATATAAAAGTAAAAAAAATAAATAAATAAGGAGCATATATCAATTGGAGATCTTAAGCTCTGCTAAAATGGCATTCGTTGGACGCATGAACAGTCACGGCAACTTGGTGGACAGTGAACTATTCCACAAAGCGCGCTCGGCAATGAACACGACTTCCATGCAGGCCCAGGAGAGCGAGCTCGAAAGGGTCACGAGGCGCACAAAGGGTTCGCGCACCTACATCAAGCCCTATGACGCGGTCTCTAGTCCGTGCCCGAGCACAGTGCGCTATGTGGGCCGCTCCGCTTCGTCCAGTGAGCTCAACTCGCCGGACGGCACGGAGGTGTCCACACTGCGCTACTGCTCCCCCCGATCCTTTGAAACGGAGACGGCAACGCTGACGCCCGAGCACAGTTCCGACAACAGCTCCCTGTCCGGATGCAGCGGGCGAGCTGAGCAACTGATGGACCGCCAGCAGTTGAAGCAAACGGAACACAATGCAGAGCAGCAGCAGCAGGAGAGGGGCTCCACAACGTCCATTTGCAGCTGGGAGGAGGAGGCAGAGGACGAGGAGGAGGAGGAGGGGGAGGAGGATGATGGTGGTACCATTTCGACGTATGCGTCCGCGGATCAGCTTACCTTCAGCTGCTCGGTGCCACTGCTCGATCTGGGCTCGGACACTGCCTCGCTGCAGTACGACCCGCAAACGCATTTGAACCAATTGAAGATGGTGCGACGCTCCGACGAGGCCTACAATAATTGGCTCTCTGGCAAGCGGCGGCTGGGCCTGTATAAGCAGCAGGCGCTGCAGGAAGAGCGCAAGCTGAAAAAGCAACAGGACGAGCTGCGGCAACAGCTGAACGCGCAACGAGTCCAGGAATGGCACCAGCGCAAGGCGCGACAAAATGCCAACAGCAACCACAACAAGCGCAAATCAAATCCTGTCCAAATAGCACCAGCCCTGAGTGCAGAGGTGGCGCAACGACGCATCCAAAACTGGGAGCTACAGAAACTTCAGCAGGCGGAACAGCAGCGCCAGCGGCAGCAACGCGAAGCGCTGCGTAAGCAACGGGAACTACAACAACGCAAGCAGCTCGCTGACACAGCATGGAAGCAATGGGTCAAGGGCGCAGCTCAGCGCCCCAAGCCGGTGCCACTCAATCAGGGCATGAATACGCTGCGCGGCACCATCTCCAACATCTATGTCAATCCAAACCCCTGGGTGCACCTTAACGAAAGCAAACTACCATCCAAATAAACAGTACGCAATTGTTGAAACATATCACAAATATGGGAACAAATTTTGTAAAAGTAGCCTAAACCATTTTCTATAGATAAAAATCCATATTTGATAAATATTGTGTATTGATTTTTGATTCCAGCTGGTATGGGAAATCGCATCACACATAATTTATAGCCAACTGGCTTGCTACATAGCGATGTGATGAGATGCAGCACAGCACCAGATAGGCCGATGAAATGCCAACGCATCCACTACAGCTCGCAGCTAATCGTAGAGCAGGCGAACTTTAAATAAATTACATATGTACTCAGCCGCAGAGGAATTTGACAAACTTGAACTATTTCTGAACATAGTCTAGACTTATTTGCTGTTCCACACACTGATTAAGGCTTCGAGCTCAATTCGTACTAGACAGTGAACTTTAACCAATAATTAATAATTAAATGATTGAAATTAAAAAAAAAAATAAAAAATAGATATAGATAAAATAGCAATGCTGTTTTAAAAATGCGTCAATTGCTTTTACAAAATAATGTAAGCAAATATATTTTGTATTGCTAAACCAAATTTATTTATTTATTTTTTTTTTTTTTTTAATAGTAAATAAAAAATAAATATGTAAATGTCCTAATCTTATTATTATTTATTTTTTTTTTTTCGTGAATTCATTTTACTATTTTTATTTACATATTAATGGTATAATTAATAATAATATTGCAATAATAAAGTATACCTATTATATAGTATATTTCGTTGAAAATTTTTATTTTATAAAAAAAAAATATTTGTATTTTAATAAATAAAATCAAATTAAATACGCAATTTTTATCAACTATGTCTTAAAAAAATTAAAATAAATATTTTTAAATAAATATTAAAATAAATAAATGTATGTTAAACATCTAATTTTAATTTAAACATATATTATGCATATTTTTATAATTATTAAAAAAAAAACAAAAATTATATAGTCACTTTTTATTTATTTGCTTTTCATTTGAAAAGCTTGTCTATCTATTTATGTAGCTTGGATAATTCATTTTAATATTTTATATATTTTTAATTCATAAATAAAGTATAGAAACGAAAAGCAAAGTGGAATACAAATGCTACCCTAGTCAAATGAATATAGGAAGAGTTCTTAATAGCCCAAACACATTCCTGTGCACACAAAGAAATTCTCTAAATTTTTGTACTTAATAAAATCTTACAAATATTTCCAAATTTATTAATTAACTGCCAGCTACCTTATTGTTGCTAGTAAATAAGTGCAAATATTCAGAAAATTTCTTTGTGTGCACAGGAATAAGAGCTCTTCCTATATTCGTTTGACTTGGGCGGCATTTGTATTCCTCTTTGCTTTTCGTTACTATATATATTATATTAAATAATATATACAAATAATTCAATAAAAATTATATAATATGTAATATTATTTAAATATTTCGCTCAATCTTCAACTCCTTCTATTAAGAGATAAGCCAAAACCCTAGTTTAAGCTTTAGGCTATGTATGTAGCAATACTTCACACTTCTCATCAAAACAAACTCGGGTATTTGTGTTTGCGTATCCCTTTCACACATTAACACCCTTGACTAGCGCAATGGCCTGCGGGGCGTTTGCATGGAGTGTTTGTTTGTCAGCCTTTGGATTTTGTGCAGTCAGCTTTGTGCCGAGAGATTGCCTTTGCATACAGCTAATTGACAGGCGAGCTGCAGGTGGTATTTATGAGAGTTTTGTGTAGGATTCGATTACATAAATTCAAGAAATTTTAAACTAATTACAATAATTTCCTTTCTTTTTCCTGCATTTTTGTCGTAATTCCTTAAAGTAAGGAACTAAGTTTGTATTGCCTAATTTCAGTTGCTTCTGACTGATTTAATGTCTAGGCTCGATGTAAGTTTTTGTTTAGTGTTCGACTGCTGAATCCAGCTGTGTTGGCCGGTAACGCTGTGAACTTGCTCACCTGTCGACTCAAAGGAAGGCAAGAAAAAACCGAGAAAAATGAATAGAGACTGGTAATAGAGGTTGCTCAGCGCAAAGAGCACAGGAAATATACACAAAGTTATTTAATATGAAAATGGCGTGCAGCTGAAATTTTATTTGAGCTTTGGCTCTGCCCGGCTTCGCCCGGTTGGTCTTAAGCGATTTATTTTCGACAACATTATTCGCTTAAAGAAACATGGAAATTAAATGTGATTTCGTACAGAATTTGACGGACGGTGCTTACGGAGGGGCGATTTTAATATAGTCAAATAATTCGCTTCTGTTTCTTTTTTCCTGGCGAAAATCAGCTCAAATTGTGAGCTGCTGTAGAGTAAAAGAATCAAAGTATTTAAATAATTTTGAATTAACATAATAAATTATTATGCGTCAAGCTTATTTAACATTTTTATCACTCATTCATTGACTTTGGGTAATTGCCATCTTGCTATACGTTTTTTTTTTTTTTTTTAAATAATAATAATAATAACATATCGTAGAAATAATTTTTCAATATATATAGTATAGTGGAAAGTTTTCCTTTATCTCTGCTCCACAGTCACTCGCTGTCAATTTAAATAGTAATCAAATTAAAACAACTTCGCGCATTTTTTACTGCGGTTTTTCTTTTCATATTTTGTTGTTTGTGCTCTCGAGCACTTTTTAATAATTTAATCCACTGCAATTGAGCGGCACGGTGTGCTTGGGCCGATTTATTAAAAATAAAAACAATATACACAAAAAAGAGCAACAACAACAGCAACAACAACACAAAATAAACAAGCGAGGCCTAAGAGTGTGGAAAATAAGAGAAGCAAATATTTTTGCACAAACATTGATTGGCAATTGGCAGGGAACACGGATGCCGACGATATGACGCAAAAGCCTCTCGTATACTATATAAATATATGTGTAAATGAATATACAGACATAAAGAGATCCTCACACACGCACACACACACACACACACTCACGACCATCGACGACACTTGTGATGAATAACCGAGGTACGCTTCGAGTGCGAGCTCAAAACTGAAAATTCATTGAAAACTGATAGCGTGTGAAAAATAAACGAAATGCGCAATCTGAAAACAAAATATGAGCTGCGTATGATTGAGCTGTGATGCTTGCAACGATGCGCTACACAGAAATTATATAAAATCATAAGAGAGCATATACTCAATTTCTGAGAACCCTTAATAAATATATATACTAAGTTTCGAATTTCTTTCTGCTTAAAAAGCAGCAGCACAAGTTTTTGTTAATAAACAAAGTTTTAAATTAGGACCTTTTAAAAATTAAAATTTTTACTTGATATTTATAACATTGAAATTAAATATAATAACAAAATAAAAGTATACAATATTTTATTTCCATACTTTTCTGTTTATGCTGAAACATATTTACTAGAAAAATACAAAAATAATATTAAAAGGCCCTAGCATAAGTAGCATTTTCAATATAAACTATTATTTATTTTTATATATTTTTTTTTAATAAAAAAAATTTTTTTAATAAAATTATTTTCTTATATTTCAAAAATATTTAATTTTGAATTCACAACAAAATAAATTCTTTTTCGTTTTAAATATAATGTTATATTATATAACATATATATTTATATTTTTTATATATTTTTTTAATAAAATATTTTTAATTCATTTTTTCCCCCTTTAATTTATTTTACACATTGTATAATATTAAATTTATCAAAAAAGAATAGTAGATCATTGAAAGACTTTCATAGCCCAAACATATCATGTATAAATCACCTTAATAATAATGTTTATACATTTCATTTATTATACCTATTTATGCTCCAAATGAATCTCATCTTTTTTCACACACTGGTAATTAATATAATTACGTATTTTAAATTAATTAACATGGTATAACTTTTGCATCGTCGTTTATTACATTTTGTAGCTCATTTAAGTTCATACTGCCCTACACACACACTCACACACACGCACACACTTAGCTAGACATACACCTCGTGTATAAATCAACTCAATTGCATTGATTTATATGACAACTCTTCTCAAAAAGTATGTATGAAATCAATGCAAAGCCTTTTTGAAAAACTCAGTGGCATGGAATTTCTAGTGGCAATTAGCAGTGACATAAATGAAAACAAAAACCAATTCGATTTGTTAACATGCTGCGGTAGCCGATTCGAACATTAATTAAAATAAATTGGCAAACACTCGAGGTAAGCTAACGTCTCTGTTAAGTGAACCAGATACGAGTTCGAGCGTTTCACTAACTATTCAAATGAGAGGCAAACTTAGATGTTAGATGGCATGGAAATAGTAAGCCTTTTAATTTTTTAGTGCTCTAAATAACTTGGCCAAAATTTTAATATTTTAGTGGAAAACAATTTGAAGTAAAAAGGGAAGAGAAATGAATGTCTAAAGAAAAGTTAGATAGATAGATAGAAGTAGATGATAACATATTTATTAAAAGGCATTGCTCTTTAAGATAAATTCAAATTCAACCAGTGATAAGAGAATATATCATAGAAAATAAATAGAAGAATCCAACAAATTCTATTGTAACTCACACAGTAAATTTTGACAACGAAATAAACGCAATAATTAATTAGCGGGCCACCCTAATGGGATTTGCGTAATGTTAAATGTATGTTAATGCCTTCTCTCTAAAGGTAAATGTCAACGATATTTCCCGCAAATTCGCAGTTAATTGATGGAATATACGGCAGCAGTCGAGCGAATAGCTTTATAGATATACTCCTATATACATATATGCGTGTAAATGCGTAATGCGTATCATATTCTATGACAAATTCTACCTGAAATTTCCAAAACTAACCAAAATTATGCAATGTTCGTAGATAAATAGGCAAATTTTTGGGCACATTTTGTGCCTCGTATCTTTAGTTGTTTCTACCATGGCCGCAAATTTGTGGAAAATAATAATTTAATTAGCTGCACATAAACATGCATGCGCATATGTATGTGTGTGAGCTTGTGTCTGTGTGCAAGCTTATGACCCGGCAAAATTTTATGCATATCAAAAATACCAATTATGGC